GGGTTAGTTTAGTGTCTTACTCAAGATTTTAAAACGCATCCAACCCCCCGAAGGGGGAGTTAGTCAAGTGTTTAAACCCCCCATTCGGGGGGTTAGTTTACTTTCTGACTCACGGGTTTAAACACTTGAATGAGACACTAAACTAACCCCCCGAAGGAGAGTTAGTTTAGCGTGTTACTGAAGATTTCAAAACGCAACCAATCCCCCAGAAGGGGGGGTTGGTCAATTGTTTTAACCCTCAATTCGGGGCGGTAAGTTTAGTTTCTTACACAAGGTTGGTGGCGTTTTACAAACTTGACCACCCCCCCCTAGGAGCTCCGAAAGGAGCGCCCTGCTCTAGTTATTTAACAATAGTTGCTTCTGCTTGGAGAGACATTTGAGAACATCTAATAATGCCCCTTCAAGGTTCGAAGCAAGTTTTTGGAAATTTTATGGCATGTAATGAGAGGGTGCGTCTGAAATTCTGATTTGACAGCGTATTCATTTTCGTACTAAACCTTTTCCTGTGATCTTATTATCTATACATTGACAGTGTTGGGCCTATGGCATATGTTGCACACAAGTTTTTTTTAGGGATGTGAATCTTAAACTGTGTGGTTCTTCAAATTATGCTTAATTTTATTGGTACATTACATGAACAAGACATAATTAAGAATTGAAACATGAAAATGTAGCGTAACAACAGATGTGGGAAAAGAACTCACATTGAAAAATGGATGTTGCTTGATTTCCTGTACGCCATATTTTCCTTGTCCTAATCGTTCTGATGGATCTTTTGTCAAAAGTGTCGAGATAAAATGTTTCGCTGTGCACGACATAGATTTTGGGAACTCTGGCGCCTCATGCACAATTTTACTGGAAAGAAAATGCCCATTCTTGTATTTAAAACTGAAACATACTTGTTAAACATGCATTCAAAATTAGTGTTTACACTGCCTCTCAACCCAGAAGACAGCCATCTTCAGACTCACTGTCGTGAAAACCCCAAATTTTACGTAAACAGCCTGGTCTGAGTCTAATTCTCACAAATTTCTGTGAGGTTGGTCATAAAAGAGATAAGAAAAGTGGCACACATTAAATATGTCAAAACTGTTACGTTTCTCATCGTTTGTAATAATTTCCGTCAGTTCTTAATGACTGTAGTCATGGTTGTGTTTGAATTTTTCTTTGGTCAATGTTAATTCTCCACAGGTTTCAAATGTGTGCATCTGCATTTCTGCCAAAGACAGTTTGCTGGCCACAAGCTAATTTGGATATAATTTTGTTCAAATACTTACCGATATAGTAACGTCAGTTGGCTTTTGTCATGAACTGTAAAGGGCTTGCGACCAGTCATCAATTCATACGCGATGACACCAACACTCCACCAGTCCACTCCCTGCAAAAATTCAAATTGGAGGCAACAATTGAAGGCAGTCATTTTAACTTCACACACTATCACACAATTTCAAGAGGACTTTGAGAAACAGAAATATTGTCGTATGAATTGTATTGATCATATCACTTATCCAGGTTTATTTGGAACATTCCTATGAATGATAAAAATTATTATATGCATGTGTTGTGAACTTCCTAATCGTGGTTCAAACTGTCTGACTGTTATAATGTGATGTCTAATTAGTTTACACTAGTCATACGTAAAATAACGAAGGGATAAAGTACATACCGCACCATCTTCTTCCTTGTTGATCATCTCTGGAGCCATATATACGTCCGTGCCACAATACAGACGAGAATTATCGGACTGTTGACAAGAACAACTTTTTAAAATAACTCTGACATGAATTTTAGAAATAAATTAACTAGAAACTTGCTGTGGTAATAGACAGAAAGCTCGGCGCAAGGCTAATATCAAAGACCACAACTGGACACCATCCCATTTCTCTAAAATCCTTATTAATGCTGTATTCCACTCTCATACACAATTTTCAAAGAGGTTTTTCTCTTCTAAATGACCAGTTCGATACCCGATGGGGGCAGACGATTTTTTCTCTATACTCTGCGTCCAGAATACCTCTCCCCTCAAGCGCCTACATGGCGTATAGTGGGACAGATTTACTTTAATTAAATGACCAGTTGATTGTAAGTAATTTCCTTAATTTTACTTCCCTAATAATAAAACGTAAGGGTGTATAAACCACATAATTTCTTTTTATATTATTATCGAAACTTTGCTTCATCCGTCCCCCTTTTAAAACACTCGTAACTGATATCTGTTCTTTGAAGTAAGACATTTATATATTTTGTTTATTTATGTTTTGTATACTAGATAGTATGTTAATGGTTTCTGAATTAAATAATTGCATTTATTTACAAAAATGCACAAAAGCTGTAATTATCACACTTCTATACTTTTGAGTTCATCCTTCAAAATTCAACGACTTCTGACGTCTTTCAGTTTTACTTTACTTTAAATATTAGTACGAAACAAACAGACTGAATGTGTGGTCCAGTTTTACGGACCTGATACCTTATCATTCTAGTACCTTGACTTCCCTCAAAATAAAGAACATTGTCTGACGAAGCGGTCCATGCAGCTCTTACATATCTAGCCTGTGTCCCCCTGTGGGTAAACCCAAGAGACAATAAACTTGTTTTTAAATTACCTGTGTATCGAGATTAAATTCTTTGCATAGTCCATAGTCTGTGACTGCTATATGTCCACGAGAGTCAACCAATATATTTGATGGTTTGAGGTCTCTGTGAATTACACCAGTCTGAAATAAATAAATAAATAAATTAACCGATTATGTGCATAATGGGATAAAATATTGGGCATCTTTCATTCTTATTGCGGTAGAGAGATGTTGTTATACTATTTTGCTTTTCTGCTACATATCACTCTAACAAAGTTGTCGTATGTATTTTTATTAATTAAATTAAATACCAATAAGCCAATCAAAATTTTATATTTGAATTATGACTGTGATTGAATTTTAATGAATAAAATTACCGAAATTCACTAAATGTTAACTGCCATTTTCAATACAATATTATAAAGTAAGATCTCAAAAGAGTTAAAGAACATACTATAAATGTGAATTGTTTCCCATGTAAATTACTTTCATAGGCTTATTTCCGTATGATTTTAACAATGTAATTAACTTCTTTTTGTTGAAATGATGACGATTTGCATTGGAGTAATAAAGTATCGAACGAAATCGCATTTAATTAATTTTTAAACCGCGTTACTGTAAATTTTTAGTTAACAGCGTGCTTACCTGATGCAAGTTTTCGACAGCGACGACAATTTCTGCTAAGTATAACCTTGCGTCTTGTTCTGGAAGTTTCTTCCTCGCCCTCAACAATTTTTGGAGGTCGCCGTTTGAAAAATATTCTGCAACAATAATAATTCCAATTGTTTACTGTAAACTGCTACTAGAGGTCAGTGAATACTATTGTGTTGAATGTTCAATTCAACAACAGTGCTACTTAAAAGTTACGCCCCGCAGAAGAAAAACCACTGGAAGATATTTTACAAGGTGCTTTTTGCAATGGATTCTGCCTCCAGTCAGGGATGTAACCGAATCTACACACAGTCGTGTGTAACATCTGTCGAAAAAAATAATACCCCCACCCTTCTTATTGTGGTCACGTGGTGTTTTAAAAAAAATTAACGTTAAAAGAAAATTATTTTATTGTTATATACACTAGTAGGCTACTCGTAGTTACCAGTCCCCGGTAAACGAGATTTCTTACGTACACAAAAAGAAATTAACAGAAAGACAATGCGTTAACACAGAAACATACAACACGGTGGTTAGAATAAGTCAGATCAATGTACTCTGAACCTTCAGTACACGTCAGTCAAAATTAGCCAGCGCCACACATGTTTTTTACTACAATATATGACAATTTAAAACATTTTAAGTGTTGTTTATGTGTTCTGTTTCAATAACAGCCCTCTCTCTGATAGACCTTTCCTATCATTGTATTACAGGCAACTCTCGGTTTACGAACGTCACAATTAATTCAAAATTTCTTGAAGTCACCAATAGATAGAGTTCCTTATAAAAAGAAATGCCAAACGTATAGCGAACATAATTGTAAGATTTAAATTAATGAACTTTTAAAAAATTTATTTATTACAATAATCATCAGAAAATTATTATATGATAATTATACTAAACTGTTCTTGCTTAATAAAACTTATCTAGTCAGTAAAAAAAACTTTGGTCTAAATGCCACGCCGCGTAGAATGTTTGCTCGTGGGAAAGAAATTGGTGATTCCCCCTATTATAATATAATAGGATCATCACTTGCTTTGCCTAGGTTATCATAGACGGTCAATTGTAGTTCTGCATTTGGTGACTTAAAAATATATTTTTTTAAAAATTTAAGTGATCATGGGTCCAAAGCGTAATAGTAGTGCTGGTACTGATAAACCATAACGCATACATACTTTATAATAAAACGTATTGTATAGACCATTCGATGTTTAGTACATGGTTTTAATGCTTTAAAATGGCTGCTAACGTATAGGAAACGTATCTCAAAAGCTCAGAAATGCAAGATACACATAACGAACGTCGTGGAACAGAACTCGTTTGTAAACTGAGAGTTGCCTTTATTTAGTTCGCTTCTCAAACATCGTGGAATAATTAAAATTCTTTTGACATACTTACCCACTATGAAGACCGCCTTTGATTCTGACAGGAATCCGTAGTAGAGGCCCACCAGAAATGGAGTGTCAAAAACATTTATATGAACACGGTGTTCTGTGTGATATTCTTTGGGGCAAACCGTTCCTGAGCTTGAGTAAGAGATATTGATCACCTTCATGGCATAGAATGTCCCGTCATCAATACCGCCTTTCTTCTGGACTAGGTATACTGTCCCGAAAGCTGTAACAATACACATGTAATGATTCAGCAAAGGGGTTATACTAACATCTGTCAATCATATTTATTAAGGATATTTTGTTAGTGTTATCACAGTGTAAAATTAAATACAGGGTTATTCATAATTCCCAGACACATTACAAAAAATCGCTAGACTTGAATGGTGTAATGGATGGTAACATAGGACATGCCGATAGAAAGAGAAACTCTCCAAGTTTATTTTACATACCTCATAAATGCTCTGTGTCCGTCCTTTGTGACGCGGCAGACGTTAAGCCAATAATCCATTTCCGCCCTTACCCGCTGCAGCATGTCACGATCGATTTGTGGAATGTCAGAGAGGATGTCAGAGATGATTCTTCTTTACAGTTGAGGCAGATTCCATGGCAGAGGCGGTAGAAAGACCTGGTCATTAACGTACCCCCATAAGAAAAAGAATCACATGGCGTCAAGTCAGGTGATCGGGATGGCCAACGAAGCGGCGCATGGTCATAGAGCATTTAAGAGGTACGTAAAATAAACTTGTGGATTTTCTCTTTCTATCGCCATGTTACAGGTTACGATCCTTCGCGCCATTCAAGTCCGGCGATTTCTTTTAATGTGTCAGAGAATTATGAATAACCCTGTATAATTGTGATTTCGGTCAAATATTCGTCTCCGAGTTTAAGGGTTTTATGTTTAGTTATTAGATGTTTATAATTAGAACTTTGAGTTCTCTAAGAATCATAGATGATGCTTCTGCAGTTGTCTGAATAATTTTAACGCTTGTGAGATTTCCTAAACTGGGGTTCAGTTGTGCGTTTCTTGCTCCCAGATCAACTGTTGGTCCTACTACTATTTCGATTTTGCTATCTGATCTTAAGGGGTTTTATTAAATCCTGTATAATAATCAGATATATACACAGTTAATTTATGAAGTATTAAGAGAAAGTTGTACTTACCACCTTTTCCTAGAACTTCTATGAGTTTGAAATTTTTCAATTTGGGGCAAGGCTGTGTAGGTTCGTCTGTAATAAAGTGACATAATTATAGTTACGACCATTTTAGATCATAATTAAAATAATTTACACAGTAAATGATGTAATTCAACCAATGAACGGAGTGTCCCTTTTAGTAGGGAGGAACACCACCCCAAATGACTCTCTCCTTCCCGATGTATAAAGTTACTGTCTTTATAACCTTCATATAATGTTTACATGTTGCTGTATATCATCTCAATCTGTGGTCCGTATAGTGGGAAATCTACTGTCATGGCGACTAATGTTTCGGTGTTGGCAACATGTTTCCAACATATAATTTAAATAGGAGATTTTGATAATAGCCAGAGTATGTTCTTTATCGGAATTTTCTAATAAATTCTTATATTATCGCTGTAATAGTCCAATTTTTTTTATTATATACGTCTATAACGAGTTGCAAAATCCTTTACAGACCGACATTTGTCTGAGATAACAAGGCATTCGGAAGATGTCGAATGTAAACTCTTTTCTCGCAATTTATTCTGGAATAGCAGATTAGAAGAAGACCTTAGAAAATACAATTCAGAAATTATTTAATAGCAAGCAACACGAAATGATAAGTTTGGTAACATACCAAGTGTTCTTAAGAGATCAAAATCTTCACCTTTTCGCCATCGGGTTTCGTGTGTGCCAGGCTTAGTCGGAGTCCGATTATTCCTGCTAATTTTGACGTCATGGTTGGTAAGATCCTGGAAACAGATGAGGTACGATACGCGAATCAAACACTGATAAACAGCAAGTCCGTTTATCGCGCTTGCAAAGTTACGAACGATCATGGCTCAAAGTACTGTCTGTAACAGAAAAATTGCACTTATTTTTTCAAAGTCTGTTTTAACTCTTGACTCATTATTGCGTGGAAAAGATTGGTTTGTCACGTGAGACCTGTCAAGTTGCAGTTGTTAACAGTTACGGACAATGGATAACAGAGTGAACCGCTGTATCAATAGTGAAGTTTGAAATTGATTTGAGATTCACAAAGATGTGAAATTGTGATAAATTGTTTTGCTACGCTGTGGCATCTTGTAACTAGTTACATATGTTTCGAAAGATATAATCGCTTCCATCTTCGTGATAATGAATAGATGCAATATTATTATTATTATTTTATAATAGTATAATTTACTTAATTGATTCATGTTATTTTTACAAATATCCTAATGTAGTTAGTAGTAATTTTTTGTGTATTTATTTTTTCCGTATCAATGTATTTTATATATTGCTTGTTTTACTTTTTATGTTTTTATTGTGTTCGTTTGCTCATCTATTGTGCTGTATCTGTAATTGGCCATCAGGCTGTTGATACAGCACACAAATAATAAAGAATTGAATTGAATTGAAATATAAACTCTCTTACAAAATTAAGCGATAATAAAACAGAAGACTATACCCTACATTTTTTTTACAAAAGGCTTGTGTTTTAAATTAAGCCACCGCCCCAACTAATATTAACAAATCGAACATAAGTTTAAATGTTTAAACACTTCCCTTGTCTGTGACATAATACAAGGGGGGACACGGTTTTTTGACCACATAGGGAGAGGGGAAAACACGAGGCAGCCGACCTGACACCTGGCGTAAGGTACAGGATACATTGGCCCTCTGAAGGAAAAATATTTACATGTAGCTTGTGTTCCGAGATAAATAAAGAGATGTGGTCAGAGTGACGTTAGTAAGCAAACGCTCTGTTTAAGGTCGCTTAGAAATAAAGCCGTGAAAAGTAATGTTGCTTCAAAGCTTAAAACTTAACCTAAACTGACATTTGTTCGGCCCGCTTCGTCTCGTCTCGAACGTAGCCTTTGAGATTATGGCGGTGGCGCTGTGAAGTCTAGTAGCGCTTCCATCACCACCCAATAACCTCTGAAACGTCGCTACCAGAATACACGGCCCAACAGACTATAAATCAGATATCTTCCCCTGAAGTTCTGTTTAAACTTCCCAGTCTCCAGACAGGATGGAAATGCAATAAAATCTTCTTGGGTTATCATCCGTGTCAATTGGTTAAACAATAAAACCGACGTTTCAGGGACAGATACGGTTTTATTGTTTAACCATTTGACGCGGCTGATCGCCCGAGAAGATTTTATTGAGTTACGTCGCCGTGAAAGTTTCAAATCATATAGGATGGAAATGAAAAACTTACCTGTTTTTTCTCGATTTTCATGTTTCTTACGGTACGGTTGGCTACTGTGCTGTCGCCAGCTTCAATGTAGGTATCATTATTTTTAGCTGTACTGTGGTTATGCTGCGCCATTTCAAAATTAAATTTTGCAGTTTCTGTTAAGAGCCTATCTACAGCATCATGTAGTTCGTTTAATCTGTTGACTGTTTCCTCGTTGTTTTTAACTTCTCTGTTATGCATCTCCAACAGCTCAGCCATTTTAACGCACAGTTTCTCATTTTCAATCGAAATCATATTTACATCTTCGTTCAGTCTGCTGATGTATTCTTGTTGTGTTCTTGTTGTCATTAACTGCTGCTCCAACACGTCGGCCATTTTAGCAAGCTCAAATTTCAAAATGTCGCCTTCGCATAACCTCTCACAAGGCGTCTGACGTTCTGCATTTACGTGAACGTAATTTTCTGATCTATTTGCTGACATGCCCCTTTTTGCACTGACGTCTTCTAGATTTTTCAGAACAGGTTTAAATCCATCTCTTAACGTATTAATTTTCTCTCCAGTTATCGGGCATGCGTTAAATTTCTGTGTTTCGTTCACTTTATTTGGTGACGTGAGATGTTTCTTGTTTTCTTGTTTTGAATATTTATTCTTATTATTGGAGTTTCTCATCTCGGATCTGCATTAAAACAAGTTGTATGTCATTATTTTTTTTATAATTGAAGGCAGTAGTCTTCTATAAAATTCAATATGAAATAAAAATATATAAATGTATGCTGCTAAATATTAAGAAGTCAGTAACATTTAAAACCACAAGAACGTTTATAGTTATTGATACATATGCATTATTCAGGTCATTAATGGAGCGTCTTAAATTATCAAGTATATTATAAATGTGCATTATTGAACAGAAGACCAACGAATAATTTTCCCCTGGTTGTCGCTTCAACAAGAGAATTATTTTTTTTACTGTTTATTTTCCGACGCCCCAAGTTTTATGTAGGCTACAATCCTGTACCTAATTCGATAAATAGAAAAAATTCGCCTTTGCTTTCGAAAAGGATACCATTTTATTTATTTACTGCATGTACTATTAATCAAATTTTGGTCAACCCTGTGACTATATTTTGGAATATATTGAAGGCAATAATTTTCCCTGGATTGTCTCTCCAAGAGGAACACACTTTACATTTACCGTTATCACTGATATCAAATTTTTTGACACCCCTGAGTCTTATTTTGAGATAACGGAAAATAAATACATTTTCCTGAGAGGAAAACTTCTGCGCTGTTTTTTCCTTACGAAGAACTGTTATCTTGCATACCCCTATGCCTTAGCTTCGAAAGAAGTAAACAAATATATTATTTTCCTTGCGTTGCCTGTCCAAGGGGAACTTTTATAACTTCTGGGAGAGAGACACGCATTGCTTTGAAACTTTATTCTAAATTGTTAGCCAAATTAAAAGTTATATGCAGTGTTTTATTAGTATTAAATAATTCATAGTGAAAGTGATTAGTGCCTCGCTAGCTTCATCTACTTCCTCTGTGGTTAGTTTTATGTGATGAATCAATAGGTAACTGGCCGAAAGAAACCATCAACTCCTTTTAAACATAACTGAGGCAAACTTAAATACTTTTTGTAGTAAATAAACAAACCAGATAATTTCCAAAAGGCGTCTATTGTTTTGTTGTTTTGTATGGGTGCGAAACATGGTCTCTCACTCAGAGGGAGGAACACAGATTGCAGGTGTTTGATAATCGGGTGTTGAGGAGGATATTTGGGCCTAAGAGGGAAGATGATGGGGCGTGGAGAAAACTGCATAATGATGATCTTAAAAATCTGTATTCCTCCTCCAGTATTGTCAGGGTGATTAAGTCGAGAAGAATGAGATGGGCGGGGCATGTAGCGCGCATGGATGGGACAAGAGGTGTACACCGGTTACTGGTTGGGAAGCCTGAGAGGAAGAGACCGCTGGGGAGACCTAGACGTAGATGGGAGGATAATCTCAGGCGGGATCTATCGGAGATAGGAGCTGAAGGAGACAGGGACCGGTGGAGGGCTTTGGTTAATTCGGTGATGAACCTTCGGGTTCGGTAAGCCATCTAGTTAGTTAGTTAGTCTATTGTTTTTAAAATTCGAACAATAACTTGCTTATGTGATCATATGTAGTTCTAAAAGTGATAGATTTTTCATGCGCTCACTGTCATAGCTTATCGTAAAACTTTCAACACTGTTTCATGGAATGTCAGTATTTATGAGTCAATAGCTTGTGTATTTGATGCACGTCGAGTATATAATTTTGAGCTCAGTGCAGTTTACATACCTAGCCTTGGTCTTCTCGGCACCATTATTCGTGACGACCTTGTGTCTTTGAACACGCTGGAAAAGAAGATTAAAACATTGAGAAATCTATGTCTACTTAAAAATAACACTTTTTCTACAACTTTTATTCACACTCATTACAGTGTATAAAAGTCTGGTTTGTTACGTCACTAAGTCTTGTTGGAATTAATGTACGCTAAATGACACCAGAATTCATGGGTCTTTTAAAATGGTTACATTTCAATTCAGGCTAAGGAGGGAAACTTCGTGTTTGGTCTATTGCCTATTGTCTTGGAAACTTCAAACCATTTGTTAATGTATTTTCCTATCTGAAGGAAAAATACAGGTCACAAAATCACCATGACTCAGGTGTGTGTGTAACTGCGGTAACTAATCAAATAATGCGAAATTGAAACAGACATTTTAAGTTTGTGTAGAGACAATCTTAGAGTTTAAACATGCTTATAAATTCTGCAATAAATATTATTTCTTGGCAAATAATTACAAAATTGCGACTATGCAAAACTATGTGTGATAATGTTTACATAGACAAAATCTATAGTTACGTAATAAGTTCTCTGCCTGCACTTAACATTACTTCTACTTCTACCAATAACTATGAATTCTAACAAATGTGTTACTACTCGTTCTTTACAACTTACCTCAGGTCTGTCCGATACTCCGAAGCAAAAGCGTCTTAACTTTTTCATGGTGAATCCAAGATAAGAGTGAACTATTCTGTGTGTCACATTAGTACAAACTTAAATTGGTTAATTACGCATTTCTATGGAAACCAAAGTTGTTAATTTTTAACAATTGAAGAGCGCAACAAATCTGATTCTTATTGTTGACGGCCTGTCACGTGTTCACAGTTAAACGCATGATGCTATATATTAACTGTCTGGAATGGACTTGAATGTTAAATATTTGAGGTCAAATACGTGGTATATATTAAATTCTGCAGTTATGTATTTCATCTTTAACAATTTTCTTCCATTTTCCTTGTTGGTATACAATCACCGAAACTAAAGAGATTATTTGTTATTAACACTTTATCTGTAAAAAGATAAAGACCAGAATAATAGGAAAAAATGTATATACTGCATGGCAGTATCTACTTGAACCGCCACGGTGGTCTAGCAGTTAGAACGCTGGCATTGTAATCCTGGGGTCTCGGGTTCGATTCCCGGCGGTGCCCGAATTTATAACTTGTGTTGGGCAAGGCCGTGGTCTAGGCAACACGGAGTTTTCCTCCGGGGGCGTCCCCTGTTTCTCCGTGGCATCCCAACAATTACTACATTCACACACAGAAGAAGGCAATGGCAAACCACTTCTGAATCATCTGCCAAGAACGTATATGAACAGGTCCCAATCCGAGAAAAGGATGGAAGGATCCTGGTCATATGGACCTGTCGTCA